CTCCTAAAATGTGTACATTAGTGAACAAAACGTGTTTTACCCCTTTACTGGTGCTTAAAAGCAAAAAAAAACACACCATGATAACTTTATTCAAGGGGAATGTCAAACACTGTGGAACTATACGAGAAAGCACAAGAAACGTGCGGAAATGAAAAATTTGAACGAAATGAGCGCCAAACGCAGATTGGGCGCGGAACCTCGGGGCTTTGAGAAATCACAGTCGGTCTAAATTTAAAATGTTCTCCCCACAGTTGGTGTTGGCGTGCTTGTTAAAAGATTTTGGATCTTGCAACATCACGCGCGCGCCGTCCAGGGCAGAGCAAAAGGTTGTAGACAGCTTCGCGGCAATATTGCGCGAAGCTTCCTACAATAACCTTGACAATGATAACGAAGAAGAGTTTGACGTGGATGATTGCGAAGTGGATCCGTCATGGAGTGGTGATGATGAGGACACTTCCACAGTTGAAGTCCAGGGATCCATCCGATTTGGTGATGTGGAAGTTTCTAAAGAAATGGTGTGTCCATTGCTGGTTTGCCTTTGTGGTGATCATCATCATACACACTCTAGGTGAAGGAAGCACTAACGTTCTACCGATCCGCAAAAAAGGGTGCGCGCTCTTTGTCTTCTATGAACGCTAAATTTCGGTTCATCAGCACCGAATACCGCCTACGGAAATTGCGCCAGATCGAGAAAGAACTTAAGTCACTACAGAATCTGTATGAAAGAGAAAATAGAACTTTTTTACTTGTAAGGTGAAATCGCCGCCGATCGAAGAGTGCGCTTGAGATCGCTTGCAGAAGAGCTCAAGGAAGTCGTCCTGTCGAAGTTCCAGTTGGGTATATCCTTGCACGATAACGACATCCGCCAAATGGCACTCAAACTGAACCAAGAGCGATTTTGCATAGAAAATTACAAAGCCAGTCTCTCTTGGATTGCACGCTTCAAAAGGAGCTCTGGGATCGTATCCAGGCGGATTACCACCTTCACTTCAAGAAAAATTTTTTTGGAAAATGATAGAAGAGCCGCAGAAGCACAAGCATTCGTTTCGAATGTAAAAAAGGTAAGTCTGTCAATAGGCCAATTCAGATAGTTCTACAGTACTCATTCAGAGCTAGAGTCTTGGCAACATGGAAATGTGTGCAATGCCGACCAAAGCGGCTTTGTAAAAGAGATGCATCCATCTCGACCACTTGCTCCTAAAGGCGTTAAGAAAGTGCAAAGAATCGTACAGTCGACGTCATCAATAACTCATTCGTTTACGGTGATGCCGACGATATACGCGGACGGACACCTAGACGACAAGTTATTTGTTGTTTTGCAGGTCAGTGGAAACATCTCACACCTCTACAAGAAATAATTTTAAAAAGATGTCAGGAGCCTCAAGGAAAGTTTCCCGACAAAGGAATATTCCAAACTCATAACCTGGAGGTTCGAGCAAGTACGACACATATGATGAATAAAAGACTGCTCTTGGACTAAGTTCAGAATTGCCTTATGTCCAACAAATCTCCGGCTAGACTTTTACTCGTGGTCTTGGAGCTCTTTCAAGGATCATGAGGCTATCAAATCCGTGACTCCAGAAGGCAGTGATATCAAAATAATGAATATCCCACCAGGAATCACTTCGTTAATTCAACCTCTCGATGTCTATTTCTTTTTGCCCTTCAAAGGAATGTATAAGAGATTTACCACACACGTTATTGCTCATGATCTTTCCTTTTCTGTCCATTCTCGTGATTCCATTTTGCGCTTTCTCTCTCTTATCTACCATCAATTTCGGGCTCCCCGTTATAGAAACTTTCTGAAGTACTCCTGGTTCAAAGCGGGTTACATCAGCACGCATCCAGATTCCTTTGAAACATCTCTACAATACTGCTTCTCTTGAAAATTGCACCGAGGTTGCCTTTATAAAATGCTCTTATTGCGGAAAACTTTTTTGCTTCAAGCATTTTGTTCTAGAATATCATATATATGACAGGAATCTTACTACAGGTTAGAAATGCATTTTTCTCGCTTTTTCCACTGTATTGTCTCATACGCTAAATCTGACAATAAAATTTCATCTCAATGAATGCTTCACCACGGTGCAGAAGGTCTTCGCAATAAAATCATTTTTTTGCTTTTAAGCACCAGTAAAGGGGTAAAACACGTTTTGTTCACTAATGTACACATTTTAGGAGTTTGTGTATAAATTGCAAAAAAGTTGTCCAACAGGGAATTCGAACCTCCAAGCATCCTCGCGGTAGTCAGCACACTTGCCACTGCGCCACACCGCTACGGTTGGCTGGGGGTGGCAGTCGCATACGAGCAAGGCACGCTGGGTCTCGCGCGGAAAAACGCCCGTAGCCCCCCTCACAGAGCAGTTCTGCAGCTAGCGAGGCTGGTTTTGAAAATGTCCTTCCGGGTGACGTGTCACACCACCCATCCCATCCCAAACGGCCACTGCGATTTCTGACACTTCCCTTGTAAGTTGACCCGAAAGCGAAAAAATGTCCATTC